ATATTTGATAGCTCTATAGTTTTTGTTTTGCTGGTACAAATCCCCTTTGTACAGCTCCTCAGTGTACAGGGTTACCTTGATGTACTCTTTTAAGTTTCTTTAATACAATATACAAAGGAATTCAAGATGAAGTAAAAGCTATTTTTTCAGGACCACTAGGACAAAGGAATCCAATACAGGCTGAGCTCTTGGCGATAATCCTAGGTTTATAGTTGGGGACATCATTGGGATATAGAAACTTTATAGTGGAAGGTGACTCAAACAATAATAGGCTGGTTGAAACAGAACAGTTTGGGACCTTGGAGGCACAAACATTTGATAAGAGAAGCAAGAAATCTAACAAGAGTTCTGAAAACAACATTTGAGTGGGTTCGTAGATCAGCAAATGACATGGCTAATACTTTAGAGTTCAACTCTTCTGGGGAAATACAAAAACAGCAGGTGAAGAATGTAATGTAGAGAAGGATTAACCGAAAAGTTAGACAAATGACAAAGCTGTGAATGGCTGGTTTCTGCTTGTACCCTTTGTATTGTAAAAATTTATTATTCCTTCGCACCAATGAAATGCTGACAAATGTGCATATATGCCTATATTCCAATGATTCTCTAGAATTCCTTTTTAGAAAGAATTAACATAATATAGATATTCACTGAACACTAGAAATCTCCATTTCACTGGTTTGGTTCAATGAGTGATTGAGTCAATGATTCCTTTCCTTAAGTTACTAAGATAAGGGTGGGTAAGCTCAGTGAGGTGTGACTGAAGCTCTACACTCTAAGCAGGGAAAATGTGCCAATCTCTCAATGTTTTGAAGTCAGAAATGGGTCTGTGGTTTGGTACCCCACCTTCAACGACCTCTTCTTGGGTGAGGAGTTGGCAAGAAGAGACTTTAGAGAAGCTGAAGAAAATGGTTGTCAGTTTTGGAGGTTTTGCACTCTACATATTTGTACTTATACTGTTTCCAAACTGAGCCTAAGTATCAAAAGTGTAGGGGATTTGTGTTTTTTGTTTTGTATGGTTGCTTTTGGGGGTGGTTTTTCTTTCTATCTGGGGTAATTTATTATCACCTCAGTTTGTATTCCTTCTTTCTTTCTAATGAATTTCCTTTTTTATTTATCTTCAAAGAAAGAATTGAAGAATGTGTGGTGCTGTTAGATAGGATGTGAGATGGTAGATGGAGAGCAAAAATGGCAGTTTACAGTTAAATCCTTTATGTAGAGATAGTGAACTCTAGCCGTAGGGCTATTTTTGTACTTTTACTTTTCTTTGCTGTATATCTATTCTTTGTATTATTTCTCTCCTGTACATTAAGGGCAGATCTGTCCTTTTACATCTTAATATAAATATATCTTTTAGGGTGTCGACTGACACAAGGTGTCACACTCACCATTCGGCTGTTCTCTCTCTGTCTGCCACTCTCTTTCTCTGACTTTTGAACTGACTCTGACATGGTATCAGAGCAGGTTACGACCTGAACTTCACTCAACACCTCGGATACTACTGATTCAAGAACTCCATAACAGTATTTGAAAGTTCTTGAGTATCTTCTTTTCCTCTCTTCTTGGATCGGCTACAGATCTAGACTCTACAGATCTGTTTTCTGGACTGTTGCGCCACTGGGTTCAATCTTTTTTTTTTATATCTCCCTATAGAGACATCGGATCAGCCTGAAATTTTAGATCTGTTGTCGCCCAGAGCAGATCTATTGAACCTCTTTGGTTTGGTTTGGATCGGTTTCGTCTTTGAGGGGTTTTGATCCACTTTTCAGTTCAGCAGAACTCTACAGTTGCCTTTTTTGGACATCAGCCGAAAGGTATTCTTCTTTTCTTCTCTGGTTCGAATTTCTTTTGGTTTCTAGAAGTGTGTGTTGTTGCCCTTTGCCATTCGACTGCATCAGAAAGGATGGATGTTCTTCCTATTAAGTTCAACGGTACAAACTACGCACTATAGAAGTTCAATTTTCAGTTTCATGCCGAAGCAAAGGGTCTTTGGGGGTACCTAGATGGATCTGTGTCTAAACCTGATGACTCTGACATCAAGGGACTTAATCAGTGGAAGATCGACAACACAAAAATTGCGTCATGAATTCTAGGCTCAGCCGAAACTGATATTGCTATCCCTATGAGAGGGTACAGGACAGCCTATGAGATGTTTCAATACCTTGAGAAAGTTTATCAACAATCGAATACCTTTAGACAATATCAGATAGAGGTTGACATTTTTTCTTACTATCAGGGTGATAGAAAGGTCCAGGAGTACTATGCCAGGTTCATTAACCTTTGGACAGAATATGAGTTAGTTCACATGGGAAATGATCCTTCAGACTGTTGTGTTAAATACATGAAGGAACACTTCGACAAGAGAAAAATTATGCATTTCTTAATGCACCTAAGGCCAGAATTTGAAGTTGTCCGTTCTAATATCCTAAGCCGAGGAACACTTCTTAACTTAGATACTATTCTTGGGGAGATTTGAGGGCAGAAACTAGATTGACTACTCAAATTGCACTAGATGGAAGGAAGGATTCCAACATTAATGCTGTCTTCTTGGCAACTAAATCAAAGGGGCAGAAGGATTTCTCTAAGATACAGTGTTATGAATGCAAGGAGTATGGGCATATTGTCTCCCATTGTAAGAAGAAAAACACATGCACCTATTGCAAGCAGGTCGGCACATCATCACTGAATGTCCTACTCGGTCGTAGAAAGGTAGTGGTCCAAATCAGAAGAAAAGGAACTACAAGGCCTATCAAACTGTTGTAGATGGTTCAGATGCCTCCTCCTCTATCACTTCTGTAGCTGGACAAAATGACACCTCCAACGGTATGTCTGAAGAAAGGATTCGATAGGTCATGTCCTTGATCATCTCCTCAGTGTTTTCTGCTATCGATCTGTCTGGTAAGTCACTGACCCATTGCCCTTCACCGAACCACCTCTGGTATATAGACTCAGGAGCCTCTAACCACATGACAGGGGCTACTCTTGGTCAGTATCCCAAACCCCACCTTCCCAATAGACATATTATTATTGCAAACGGTGAGAAACTTGACATACTTGGTTGTGATGCTTTGTACTTATCTACCTCTAAATTATCACCATTTCATTTATCCAAAACTCTATTTGTACCTAAACTCACCACCAATTTGATTTTTGTTGGCCAACTTGTAGAAGAAGGTAATAATGTCTCATTTACTTCTGATGGTTGCTTGATACAGGACCGGCAAACTGGGGAGGTGAAGGGGAAGGGGCGTAGACTGGGAAGACTCTTTATCTTGGAGTTTGAGAAGAATAAGACTGATTTTGCTTATACTTCTTGTTTGCTTTCTACTACTTCTAATTCTGGATATTTTAATTGTAATAATGATTGGCATTTGTGGCATAGACGCCTTGGCCATCCTTTTTCTAAGAAACTTGATCAGTTATTTGCTTCTGGTAGTTTACCTGTTTCTGTTGTTTCTTTTAAGAATGTGAATAAAGATTGCATTACTTGTGATTTATGTAAGAGTCATATTTTACCTTTTCCTTCTTATTCTGAGCATGCAACCGTTCCCTTTCATTTAATACATAGTGATGTCTGGTCGTTTCCAGTTGTTTCACGGCTGGGATATAAGTATTTCGTAACCACATTGGTGATTGCACTAGTTTTACTTAGGCTTATTTTCTTCGAAAGAAATCTGAAGTGTACATTGTTTTTAAACACTTTCACGCTTATGTAATTACCCAATTTGATGCTCGAATCTGTGTGCTAAGAACGGATTCAGGGGGAGAGTATATTGATCGGGATTTTCAGAACTACCTGAAACAACATGGAATTCAACCCAAAAATCTTGTCCGGGCACCCCACAACAAAACGGGGTAGCAGAAAGGAAGAATGGGCACATCTTGAGTGTAGTCAGAACCCTTTTACAGGATTCCCATGTACCCTCTTGGTTTTGGGTGGAGGCGGCCAGTACTACTATGTATCTCATAAATCGTCTTTTGTCATCTGTTTTGAATAACTCCTCTCCTTTTCAATCTCTTTTCCACAAACCTCCAAACCTTATCCATGTTCAGAGTTTTTGGTTGTGTTTGTTTTGTCCACATTCCACAACGCACAAAGTTAACTACACAAGCAGCTTTGTGTGCCTTCATGGGATACAGTTTTGAACATAAGGGGTTCCTTTGCTATGATCCCTTGGTTCGTCGCCTTCGAATCTCTCACAATGTAGTTTTTTCTTGAAAGTGTGTCCTTTTTTGAACATATTGTGAAATTCCCAGCTCCTTCTATTTCCTTGTTTCACAGTTTTGATTCTACAGGCACCTCAGATATTCCACTGTCACTTCCGCAGCAGCTTCAAACATACTTCAGGAAGCAATG